GGTGTGAGACCATTTGAGGTTCTGAAGTGAGGGTAGAAGCTGTTAAGGACCTCTATGGGGCTTTTGTTTTCTAACACACGGGACGGAAGTCTATTGATCATATATGTGGCAGTAAGAACGGCATCTCCCCAATAGGACTTAAGAACATTCCCTTGAAATAGTAAGGCTCGGATGGTGTTGAGCAAATGCCCATTCTTTCTTTCAGTTATCCCATTTTGTTGGGGTGTGTCCACACATGATGAGTTATGGATAATCCCCTGTGCTGTAAAGTAAGGTGATAGAAGTAGTCTCTAGCATTGTCTGTCCTAAAGCTTTTTATTTTGACCACAAATTGATTTTGAACCATTGAATGGAAATTAGGTATAACAGTGCTAACATCAGATTTTTGTTTAAAAAGGAAGAGCCATGTAACCCGCGGGTGAAATCATCAATTAAGGATACAAACTAACGAGCCCCAGAAACATTAGGTATAGTGGAAGGACCCCATATGTCACTATGAATCAGTGAAAAGGATGAGAGCTTCTTTTATTGCTAATAGGAAAAGATACACGGGTATATTTTATCAATTCACAAGTGTCACAATGAAACTCAGAAATATCTAATCATTGGAATAAATGAGGAAACATTATATTTAAAACCCTAAAAGAGGGATGACATCTATGTTCGAGGAACTAAGGAGAGATGAAGATAAATTGCTCCTAATTTTCTGGGATGGTTCAAGATGGTAAAGACCGCTCCTTTCCTTAGCAAGTTCAATCCTCCTCCCTGAGTCCTGATCCTGAAAAACACAATAAGAATGGGAAAAAACAGCATAACATTTGAGATCATGAGTCAATTTTTGAATGGACACAAGGCTTGGGAGAACGTTTTTAAGGAAAAAGTTGGGTGTGATATGTATATCTCCAATCCCTGCAACGGTAGTTAAAGAGTCATTGGCCATGATAATTTTTTTATTACTTGGACATGGGGTATAGGCGTGGAAGAGTTGAGATGTGGGGGTCATATGTTCAGTAGATAGTGGAAGGACCCCATATGTCACTATGAATCAGTGAAAAGGATGAGGACATGAACAAAGACAGTACACCCAAATACCCTGGGTGTGAGACCATTTGAGGTTCTGAAGTGAGGGTAGAAGCTGTTAAGGACCTCTATGGGGCTTTTGTTTTCTAACACACGGGACGGAAGTCTATTGATCATATATGTGGCAGTAAGAACGGCATCTCCCCAATAGGACTTAAGAACATTCCCTTGAAATAGTAAGGCTCGGATGGTGTTGAGCAAATGCCCATTCTTTCTTTCAGTTATCCCATTTTGTTGGGGTGTGTCCACACATGATGAGTTATGGATAATCCCCTGTGCTGTAAAGTAAGGTGATAGAAGTAGTCTCTAGCATTGTCTGTCCTAAAGCTTTTTATTTTGACCACAAATTGATTTTGAACCATTGAATGGAAATTAGGTATAACAGTGCTAACATCAGATTTTTGTTTAAAAAGGAAGAGCCATGTAACCCGCGGGTGAAATCATCAATTAAGGATACAAACTAACGAGCCCCAGAAACATTAGGTATAGTGGAAGGACCCCATATGTCACTATGAATCAGTGAAAAGGATGAGAGCTTCTTTTATTGCTAATAGGAAAAGATACACGGGTATATTTTATCAATTCACAAGTGTCACAATGAAACTCAGAAATATCTAATCATTGGAATAAATGAGGAAACATTATATTTAAAACCCTAAAAGAGGGATGACATCTATGTTCGAGGAACTAAGGAGAGATGAAGATAAATTGCTCCTAATTTTCTGGGATGGTTCAAGATGGTAAAGACCGCTCCTTTCCTTAGCAAGTTCAATCCTCCTCCCTGAGTCCTGATCCTGAAAAACACAATAAGAATGGGAAAAAACAGCATAACATTTGAGATCATGAGTCAATTTTTGAATGGACACAAGGCTTGGGAGAACGTTTTTAAGGAAAAAGTTGGGTGTGATATGTATATCTCCAATCCCTGCAACGGTAGTTAAAGAGTCATTGGCCATGATAATTTTTTTATTACTTGGACATGGGGTATAGGCGTGGAAGAGTTGAGATGTGGGGGTCATATGTTCAGTAGCTTCGGAGTCTATGATCCAAGAGTTGGTATAGAATTTGTCTAAAACATTCATGCAAACAGTTTTACCTGAAAGAGCTATCAAACATGCTCAAGAAGGCTTCTCAAGAGATCCCAACAAGCTTCTCAACTTTTTAATTTCTTCATTGCTGAACCGCTCTACTG